TAATAAAGACTAGAAATTGCTCTAGTCTGAGGGTTCATTTGGAATGAAGTTAATTTTTTTAGGAAGAAAAAAAAGATCTGTGCTGAGGCTACAGGGGAGCTATTAGTAAGGTATTAATACAGGGCATCTGCATCACCATTAAAACTCTAAGATGGTCCAAAGTCACTCCTGTCTCCATAAATCCAGGCATGAATTGGGTGATGGACTTGCATCTGCTGCTTTAAGAGAAGGAAGTGTTTGGATTTATAGTCCCATGGGCAGGGCAATGAAGGAGGAAGAAGATTTCACTTCCTTTGAAGTTTAATGAAGTGAATCTCACATAATGGAAGTGATTTTGTCTCTCTCTGAACATGATGAAGTTCTCCAGTAAATGTGTTTGTTTTGGGGTGCTCTCTGGCTTACTTATATTCTCTAGCAGTGGGTCATTGGGGCAGATATAGACATTTGCTGTTTTAAACAGAAATTCTTATTGCATCTGGATGTTGCTCTGAAAAAGGTCAGCTTTCAAGCATAGGTGTAGCAAATAAAGCTGCAGATGTGGAAAGCAGTTTCATATTTACATTTGTGAGGCTTTTTGAGCAGAAAGCACTATTCATTTCTCATATTCATTATGCCCTTCTATCATTCACCTAGATCCTATTTAATTATGTGTTTAATGATCTTCACCCTTCACACGAACACAGCTTGCTGAAGCTTGACTCTTGCAGCAAATTATCATTCATGTCTGGTAGAAGAGAGGAAATATTACTTGGGAAAAGTGCTGTGCTATCTGACTTAAGACTTCAGTCTGTGATATAACTTTGTAGGAGATAATGATGACTTAATCTTAAATCTAAGCAAGAAAATGATTTTGAAGAAGTGGCTCGTCCATAGGTCATTTGTTATATTATATTGATATTAAAGTGTAAGGACTTCAAAACCCAGAAAAAATATTTTAATTATTTAAGTCAGTTTGGATGCTCTCCATAGATTGTAGTAAATGCCACCTTTATGTCTTGATTTTTTATTAAAGAACTTAAAAAAAAAAGAATTGCCATTATAAATCTTTGGGTAAAAAACTGATCTTCCACTAATCACACCTAATTTCAATTAAGATTATTCATTGAAATTAATTTAACATTATATATATTATATAATTAATTTAACATTATATATATTATTAATTTAACATTATAAAATGCTCCTATCTATTGTACATTGTTTAATGTTTAGCCCTTCACTTTATAGTGTTTCAAATAGCAATATTTGAATAGCAAATAGCAATTCTTGCTTTTGATACAATGGAATTTAATTTATTAGAGGAAACAATTAATGGTAATCATAGATATTTTTATCATTTGGGTATTGGTATCTTACTAGAACTGCAAAGGTTCTAGTAAAGCTCTGCATTAATATCTACCAGAAGTGATTTATAAACCATGACTGCTGTTGGATATTATGGGTAAAGCCAGAGATCACATAGACGGCCTCTCTTACTTATTAGCAAATAGCAAATTTGAGAATGTTTGAGCCTTCTCAAATGTCTGTGTGGGATATCTGGTTTATTCCTAAAAGTTCAGATTATAGCATTTCGTTGTGTGGCTGGGTGAGCTGAGATGTTCCCAGTTCCTCTGCTGAGCTGTGGGTGTCCAGACAATGCTGTGATATTACATCACTCTAACTCAGCTCTGAAAATCCTGCCAAAACCTTCATATGCAATGTTAATGCCATATAGATTTTATTCAGGGAGCAAACAGATGCTTAAATTATAAACAATCTGTTTAAAACACAAATGCTGGATTGATCTTTACAGGCTCTGGGGCCCTGAAAATAAGGGTCATAAGGATAATAATCTTAAAGGCAAAAGGAGTTGTGATAACTTTCTGAGCAGACCAAACTGTGACATCAGCCAGGAGGGGAGGCAGTGGCTCAGTAAATGAAGCTGATTGTTCTCAAGCAGGAGCTGATGGCAGGTGCAAAAAGAAAACCAGACTGAACTTTTGGAAAAGGGACTCAGCTGTCACTTGACATCTCTGTGTACATTCCTGTGGGCTGGGTAGGAAGAGTGAACTGGATTGAGTCATACATATTCACAGCTAAAGCGCTTCGGAAAAGTTGTTAAAACAATGCTGGTGTAATAAAATGCTGCCCAGCACAACAGAGAGGATGAGTTTACACCTCATGTGGTTCGTGGGAGTTCTGCCATTATTGCAGGGCAGGGAATGCACTGGTGGCCAGGATTTTGTGTCTGTAACAAACCAGATCAAGGGGGAAATCAGCCCTGGCTGCTGCTGTCCACTGTGCTCATTGCAGCTAACACAACTTTGAGTTTTCCAAGCTCTTGGACAGCTGAATTCCCGAACAGAGGAATTTAGATAGAGCTGTTTGTGACCAATTCTGGACAGAAGGACCCACAGAGCCTCTTGTGACACAAGAATCTCCCTGTGGTTTGGCCACAGCTGGTGTTTCAAGGCTTTTTTCCACACCTATTTTAATATCCTTATGCAAGCTCTTATATTAAATGATGCTGCTGCCTGGCCCTGGCAACCCCTGCTATCAAATGTGAGTTAAATGCGAAACCAGCAACACCTTCTGTTGAGCTGTGTGCACAAAATGAGCAAACAGGAAAAAGTCTTTAGTACTGGTTGTAACTCATGCTGCAACCTAAGCAAGTTGTACTTATTTCCTTCAGACTGTCTTTTGTGAGGCAGAGATTAATAATAGATGCAAGTTACACTTTTAACGATGTTATTTGCTTCTTATTGATCATATTGAGTGTGTTAGACCTAACAGTAAACAGAATTTAAACCCCTGTTTCTGTGTATTCAAGTTATTATCCTCTATTTCTGAATGTGTTGGCAGTGATACATATGATCCAACCAATTCACACTCTCACTCTCACAACTTAAAAATTGTTGGAGATAATCTGATATCCAGTATTTGGTTCTGAGCCTACCAAAAAAATCAGTGGAAGTCCTTTATCCTCAGGTTTTTAATGAATAAAAAAATTCAAAAGAAAGAATATGTTTCTCATAGTGCTTCAGTTTATTTTAATCCTCTCTTGCTTTTTGAAAAGCCAAATACAAATTTAATTCAATTTTTTTTTTTTTCCTGACAGGGATTTGAGGAGAATGGCAAGATGTGTGCAAGGGTTCTTCTACCAGGGCACATACTTTTAGAATAAAGATCTTAGAACCTTTTAAGTTCTGCAAAGATCTGAGTTGTGATAGACTCCTTAATTTCTGTGACTGCTGTCTGTGACAAGATTCCATAGATGCCAGTGTTCAATCATTTCTAGTCACCTGGAAATAAGCACAAAGTAATAACTAAAAATAAGAAGTTAGATTAAAACATATGTTATGGTTAACCCTTCCCTCACCCTTTGATCTAATAGGTTAAGGACATTTTGTACTTGTTCATTTGGGCTGATAATGGTTCTGAAGGCATTTACATTTTAGAATGGGGATTTAAAATATATATAACAGCTGCTTTTTAAATAGAAAGTCTAATTATGCCTATGATTGCATCCATTTTTGATTAGTATGCATACAAATGCTTGCTCTCCATGTGTATTCAAGCTGAGCTATGGATCACTGGTGCTGGCATTGAAGCACAAAGGAACAGCTGACAAAATGTATAGTTAGACCAAAGCAAAAAAAAAACCACCAAAATTCTGTGTTTACGTTTTTTTTTGTCTCTAAAATGCCTTTATTGTTTCTTTTATCCCCTTTTAGCTGCACACTGACCTGGACCCTGGCAGCAGCAAAATCAAGTATATTCTGTCAGGAGATGGAGCTGGAACCATCTTCGTGATCAATGACAAGACTGGAGACATCCACGCCATGAAGAGGCTGGACCGGGAGGAGAAGGCAGAGTACACCCTCACAGCCCAGGCCGTGGACAGGGACACGAACCAGCCCCTGGAGCCCCCCTCAGAATTCATCATTAAGGTTCAGGACATCAATGACAACGCTCCTGAGTTTGTGGAGGGCCCCTACCACGCCACGGTGCCAGAAATGTCTGTTGTGGGTACGTATGTCTGAGCAGCTCGCAGCTCTGGCCCTGCCAGGAGGCTGTTGAGTTGCTGATGAATAATAAGGTATTTATTATGTTGTTAGCATTCATTTGCATATTTGCAAATCTTTTCTTGGCCGGAGCTTTCATCTGCAGCACAATAGTTGAGTCCCTCAGTAGTAAGGAAATGACTAACAGCTGTATTAATGTGTCTTTGTCCAACAACACTTTAATGGGCTAAATTTATATTTCCCTTCTGACACTGCAGTTAGAGTATTGTTATTGAGAAGGATTTATCAAGATTTGCTCCAGCATGACGCTCTAATCCTATTGATATTTTGTTGATGTTTAATTATCTGTTTGTTGTTTTCCTACACTTGCAGGGCATTGATACATACTTATTTGTTTTCCTCTAAGTGAAACTGTAATCAGGCAAAAACATTGAAATGAAAGATGCTATGTCTGGGAATTGATGGTTTGGCTGTAGAGTGGACTTAACCAATTAGCCACAGGATTTGCATGGATGATGGAAGGGAAAAGCAGAGAAAGCTGTGGAAAAAAGATGGTGAAAAGGGAAATTAACTGTGTGAAAACAGAAAAGAGAAAGGAGAAAAACGTAATCTTCTTAATATATTTTACTTATATTTATTCTTTTTGTCAGATTAGTGTGAATCCATTTCCTCATGGATTAATATATTAGAATATTTTCTGCATAGTTTGCCCCTGTGTTTGCAAGTGAACATCCTTACAGAGGCAGATATTGACAGTCCCTATGACACACATGGATCATCTTCAGCTGTCACTGCAGCCAAAGGGAAGCAAAGCCACCAAACCAAGAGAATCCATTTTAGGGCAATATAAGAATTCAGCATAAGCAAAGGCATCACAATCTGGCCGTGAAATGCAGAGGAAATTCTAATGCATTTTAGTGTTAGGTTGAGGATAATGTGCTTTTCAGTGATTTGTCTACATCTGTCAAAGCAAGGTAATTGAAGGAGTGCCAAGGCACTTTGTGGAGTAAGCAGCATGCTATCACAAAGTTTCAAAAACACCACTCTTTCTTATTGAGCTAAAAAGAGGAGGAATAATGTGAGGAGCCAGAACCATCTCTCACTCACAGCACAGAGAGTTACACCGAGACATTGTCAAATCCAAGTGTGATGTGCTGTCTGCATGGTCATACCTCAGGCTTCAGCTTTGAAATCGACTCTTCTCCAACAGATTTTCATATCTTCATTGTGAACTAAGAACAAGCTTGGGCCAAAAATGATGCGTGAATTTTCGAGCCTGCATTTCAGTTCTTTTGCTAAACCATAGCTTTTATACACTGAGTTACTTTCATACAGCAGCACAAATATAATATGGATCTGCTTTCAGAAGATATTTCTGCCAAGCTCTAGGTGAGCAAATGACTTAATTAAATAAAATGAGAATAAGAAAAGCAAACCAAAACAAAGCATTGTGAGAGAAGGAGGAAGGAAAATTGAATGTTGTCATTCCTTATGTAAATAGGATTTATGTAGTATTCTACAGAAAAAAAGAGAAATGTATGCAAGAAAAGAAAAGATGGTTTCTGATCACAAAGCCTATTATAAAAATAATTTATGTCTGCATATTTATAATCTGTGATAAAGACATGGCCCCCATCCAAGATGTATTCACTGTAAAGAAGAGGAGAAAAAATAAACCAAAAAACCAAAATGAAAACTTTGAGAGGAAACTGATCAGGAGATGAATAAAAATTTAATTAATTATTAACATGAGGTTTAAAAGATGGCAAATGCAATGAGAGTAAGGGAATAAAAGAGAATAAAAGATGAAATATTAGTAAAAGAGAGGTAAAATTGGAGAAAGAGTGAAAGAGGAGGGAAATATGTGAAGAAAGGTAATGAGAGATGAATTATAAGTTAAAACTCAATCTAGGCAAACTTTATTATAGAGGATTGTAGGAGAAATAGCCAATGGCTGTATGTAGTTTAGGGAATAGTGAAAGGGGCTGGCTCCAGGGGGAAATGTTTCACCTGTTCCCCAAGCATGTTGGGGAAAAGAGAGACACTGAACTGCCTCTGAAATGACAAAGCTCCACATTCTTATGGTTTGTTAGGCTGCATGAAAGAGTTTTGTCCAAAAGCCAGTATGTTGTGACAATAAAACAGTTGTTACCATTACTAAAGCAATCTATGTTAGAGATTTGCAATAGATCATCTGACAGGCCTGAGGTTTGTTCCTGGAACTCTGGGAGATTTGCTCATTTATCCCTTAGGATCCCTGGCCCTTCCCTGTGTTTTACAGGACGTTCCTGGGGGTGCAGGTTTCCAGGCTGCTGCTCTACAGAAGCACCAGCCTGCACTCCTGCTCTTCTATTGAGAAAAAGAATCTATTTCTCTCTGTTGCTTTGAAACTCAGAGAATGTTCCTGATTGCATTACATGGGGCATGAATGGGTGCAAAGTCTCTGAAGTAGAGGCAGTGGAGTCTGTGTTTTAATCTCTGATGGAACCAAATGTCAAGGCTGGATGAGAGTGTTACCCTTCATTAATGTTGCTGTTGCTATTTCCTTCTGCTTTCTCCTCTTGATCCACAGGTAGCAATATCAAGAGATGAAGGAAATGATTCTCTGTAAATGATTTCAAATTTTTTGAAGCTTTTTTTAGTCCTCTTAAAATTGCATTAACTCTTCTGTAATGTTTATAAGAACAGAGTTCAAGGAATTTTTATTATTTTTCCCCCTCTAAGAGCATTTCACTTCCATTATCCACTTAGTTAATTCCCTTACAGAGATCTCCACCCACTGCCAATTTCAGCCTTGACTTTTGTACAACACAGGCATCACTAGGCAGTGTTCTTACTCAGGATAAAACAAAGTTCTACTCAACCTTTTCTTTCCTCAAAATGCTTATATCAATTTTCTGCTCTGAAACAGAAGCTCATATGCTCCCTATATATAGTACTTATGTAATGAGGATGCAGTACAAGGCATTTTATTTTTGGGCCTCAGAGGAAGGCAATGCATGAAATACAGATGAGAGCTTTAACCTTTCATTGTTCTAAGGTTCTAACAAGATAAAGTATTTCTAAGAGGTACCTTAGACCTGGTCTTACGTTCCTGGCTAGAAGAGATGTGTTATAGGAATGTCAGGTGTTACTTTGACTATCTAGAACTGGAATGAAACACTATGGGGATGTGACAACCGGATTCCAACTGATAGAGAGCAGGGCTGGATGGGATCTTGGGCAGGAATTGTTCCCTGGCAGGGTGGGCAGGCCCTGGCACAGGGTGCCCAGAGCAGCTGGGGCTGCCCCTGGATCCCTGGCAGTGCCCAAGGCCAGCTTGGACATTGGGAGCACCTGGGACACTGGGAGCTGGCCCTGCCATGGCTGGGGTGGGAATGGATGGGCTTTAGGGTCTCTTCCACGCCAGTTCTGGGATTCTGTCCCTACCTGCAGTGTGTGCCAGCCCATGTGGGGCTCTGTGTGTGCCAACGTCCCAGAGCCGCACACGGCCACGGCTCCCCTGCGTGGTTTTTATTCTGTGTTTTGGTGCTCTCTGGAAAATCCTGCTTCCCTGCCGAAACAAAAGGATTTGCATGGCTCTCCTCCCGCTGCCTGGTGCAAAGAGGATCAGTATTACCCGGAGCTCTCTCTGGGAGGAGAGCTGCTCACTTCTCAGCTGTCTCTGCAGAACACACTCCCACACCCGCGCTCGCTGCCGGCCGCGTCACTGTGCTCAGAGTTATTCTGAAATCTTTTATTTCTCTCTTTGAGCAAAGAGACCAGCACATTCCAGAAAAAAAAAAAAAAAAAAGTTTTGAGAACCAAATTGAATTTTTTTTACTCTAATTCCTACATAATCTACCACAGTAAGCCCTGTTCCCCACCTCCAAAAATGATGAATTTGCTTGTGGAAGTTAATAGTGTATATGGAGAATATGTTCTTTGCTGAAACTGTGAACTTTAATCTTTTAATTATGTTATTAATTTTCTTAAAGAATTAAAGATCAAAAAGCGAAATCTGTGGAATTACTTCATTATGGCAAATATTACAAATAAGAAATAATTTTTCTGTAAATCTTGTTTAATCACTTTTAAACGTAAAAGGGCACACTGGGGTAGAAACTCAGTTAAAACCTTAAAAAAAAATAAATTTGTCTGTACTTCTGGGAGTAAGAACCCCAAGACCATATTTTTTCTCTCCTCATTTTCCTATGAGCTCTGTATCTATGCCTGCAGTGAAGATAGACTATTATATAAATGAACGAACAAGCTTAGAAGAACCATAAGGGTAATTGGAACCAGTTCTGTAGCTTATTTAAAGAAAAAGGAAAGAAAAGGGGAAAAAAAAACCCCACACCCTCTCTTGAATATGTTCTGTTTCTGTGTTACCTTCTCTTCTACACACAGATACACGAATTCCCCAAAACAGGTGGAGAGGTGGTAATGGGAGCCAAAGTGGATGTTGTCTCCTGACAGCAGAGTTTTAGGATCCCTTTTTTCAGGAGAGGAATGAGGAGTGAATCTCTTGATTTCGCTCTCAGAGAAGCCGGGAGTGTTTAGACAGCGAGTGTCATGTTGAAAGACAGGAGACGACTGAAGCAGAGTGACAAACGTGTTGGTGAAATAAAACAGGACACAGATGGAAAAAGAACAAAAGCCATAAGGGAAGAGAATTCTCTCATAGTTTGCCTGAATTAAGGTAAACAGACAAACTTTAATAATCTCCAAATATTAAGGCTTCTTGTGACAGTCATAAGAAGAATAAAGTACACACAGTGGAATTCAGCCTGACATTGCTCTAGAAAGGCTTTTGCTTTTGCCACCTGAAAATAGTAACAATATGAAAAAGCTTAGAATAATAATTTGTTTTGTCCTTAAATGCTTCCATGAAAGGTCTTTATTGGAAAGGGTTTAGGCTTTCAATTGAGTCAGAATATCAATTTTGAGTTTTGGCACACACACATGTACTTAGGAATGTTTGCCCTTGATTACACCATTGCTTATAAGAAATTCTATCTTTTT